CAAGTAAGGATAAGAATTTATGGATGAATTGGAATTAGATGTCAGTGCTCGCTATTGCTATACAAACATCTGATCCATTACAGGGAACCGACCAATTTAGCCATTCAATGCCAAGCGCCTTTCGCGAGCTTTACGGCTCTAGTTTGAAACTGGCCACTTCCATTTCAGACTACGCTTTGAAAAAATGTCGGTTTGAAGACTGAACAAACAAAGATCCTGGAGATTGTATGTCAGCAATTCCCACGTCACCTTTTCCATGTTTATCCCACTGAGCGAGAGACAGAGGAAGATAATGACGAAATCAGCCGTACAGCCCGTTGCTGAGGGTCCTGATGGGTTTTAATGCTTAACGTAAAACACCCTTCAAACACTATCGTAAACGTAAAATTAATCTTTTTTTTATCGTAAATGCTTAACGGAAAATAAGAATAAATTACTGCTTAACGTAAATAAATAATTTACTGCTTATCGTAAAATGATTAAAATGGTCAAAAACAGTCTGTCTTCAAGACCCAAATGCTTCGCCACAGAAAGCAGGCTGCGCAACTGACGCAGCGGACCTGTCTAGAATGAGATTTGAGATTTTACCCGGTATTAAAAATATGAATTGTCAGGATGAAACGAAAGCAGAATTAAAAGTCCCTTTCCCGCCATGGCCGATTTAGGAATCGTTTCGCATCGAAATTCCAAATTTAGATTCAACTTGACAGCTTTCCCCGCGGTTGAAGGATGACAGATTGACAGCAATGGAGGTGAATTTGAAAATAATCAACTGTGTGTTGAGCTGTTATACTGTACAGTTATTTGTGCCCTAAGCTATATTCTAGTTACAACAGGTGAGGTGAGGTGAAATTGGGTTTAACGTCGCGTCCAAGATTATTGCACTTATATCGCGACGTGCATGCACGTGTATGTGTGTGTGTGGCTGCTTGTACTAGTCCGGACTGATGCCGATTTATAGTGCTAGCTCACTGAGATACCATGCCGCAGTTTAACATGAATACCCCACTCAGACACAGTATACTGACTCCGAGCCGACCAGTCCTTGTTTTAGCCCCTTATTGCCGAGCGCCTGACAGGGTAACAACAAGTACCATCTTTTAACGTCTTTTGGTATGACGCGGCCCGGGATCGAACCCTGGACCTTCCGCTCTCCGGAGTTACAACAGACAATGCAAGTTGAATTATACCTTATCTAATAAACTAATTATTGTAATTTCACCCTGAACTAGAACATCCTGAAATGAAAGTTATTTATGAAATGCACTTGTGTAGGAATATCAAATATTGCCCAAAGGTATTGATGAATTTTGTAGAAAAATGTAGGTAAAATAACATGGTGATAATATTATAATATTTGTTGAAAAATTCATTTGGCATTTTTGTGAAACAAATATGCGACACCAAAAGACTTTCGCGACGATTTTATTGAAAAAGAAGAAAAATTACAGCTTAATGAAAAAGTACCCTAAATTTTACTGCTTATGGGACCCCCCATCAGGACCCTCTTAGCTGCCTTTCGGAATAACCCGTGTTAACCCTTTCGTGGTTGCATGATTAGAACACTCGTGGACATCCGGGTAAGAATACTAGTAGGTCTTCAGTAATCAATGCTTGTCGCAATTGTGATTATTGTTCAACATGGCTCCCAGGAGATTGTTTGATGGCGAAAGGTGGCGAATGTAGTGTTGCATGATTAGAACACCCATGGAGATCCGGTGTAGGAGGCTCAAATGACTCACCAGGCTCAGACCACTCTAGAGTCATTTTGAGCCTAGGCTGTGAACGTCGTACACAAATAATATATTTTCGATGATACAGCACAGTATTTTCGATGATTGCACCCCATTTATTTTACATATTGTAAAATTGCCAGATTGAGCCTGATACTCAAGAATCGGATATAGGGGGAGTAGTTTGAGCATGATATTAAAGAATCGGATGTGGAATATGGGGAAGTAGTTTGAGCCTGATACTCAAGAATTGGATATAGAATAGGGGTAGTAGTTTGAGCCTGATACTCAAGAATTGGATATAGAATAAGGGGAGTAGTTTGAGCCTGATACTCAACAATCGGATATAGAATAGGGGGAGTAGTTTGAGCCTGATACTCAACAATCGGATATAGAATAAGGGGAGTAGTTTGAGCCTGATACTCAACAATCGGATATAGAATTGGGGGAGTAGTTTGAGCCTGATACTCAACAATCGGATATAGAAGAGGGGGAGTAGTTTGAGCCTGATACTCAACAATCGGATATAGAATAGGGGGAGTAGTTTGAGCCTGATACTCAACAATCGGATATAGAAGAGGGGGAGTAGTTTGAGCCTGATACTCAAGAATCGGATATAGAATAGGGGTAGTAGTTTGAGCCTGATACTCAACAATCGGATATAGAATAGGGGGAGTAGTTTGAGCCTGATACTCAACAATCGGATATAGAATAAGGGGAGTAGTTTGAGCCTGATACTCAACAATCGGATATAGAATAGGGGTAGTAGTTTGAGCCTGATACTCAACAATCGGATATAGAATTAGGGGAGTAGTTTGAGCCTGATACTCAAGAATCGGATATAGAATAGGGGGAGTAGTTTGAGCCTGATACTCAAGAATTGGATATAGAATAGGGGGAGTAGTTTGAGCCTGATGTGAACGAATTGGATGTAGGATACAGGGAGTATTCTGAAAATAAATTATAGGTTAAGATAAGTATAGTGATTTAGGAGAGGCACCTTGAGATTTTCCAAATAAAGTTTAATATAAAACTGTAATAAAATAACTGGCACTAAAACATCTGACACACAATATTTCGGATCGTTCATAACCTAACATTTCAGAATAGAAAATGAGGAAGAGGGGTTGAAAACCTTTATAATACAAGATATGTTTGATCATTTCTGTAATCATTTTATTTCAAAACAAGGGGAGTCATTAGGGCCCAGTTGGGGAGTTAGCTGAGCCTAGAGGGAGTGTTTTGAATCTGTCTAGGGGAGTCATGTGAGCCTAGGCCCATATGACTCTAGAGTCAAATTTAGGGGGAGTCTTTTGAGCCTACTCCTCGATTAAGAAAAGGTCTTCGTGGACGACAACGACAGAGGCCTTTCTGGACAGGTAACAGATCGCTATCACGACCATCCCTTAGCTCGCCACGAGTCCAGATCTCAAGCGGCTGGAACACATCTTGGACATCCTGGGGTACCAGATACAGAAGCTGGACCCACCAGTAACCAGGTGACAGGAAATGGCACAAGCATTGCACCGAGATGGGAAAGCCTTCCCCAGGAACACATCAAACGTCTACCTGGGGGCATGAGAAGGGCTGAGCTGGTCACCCGGGCACCCGACCACTTTGTAAAATGTCATGACTGTTGTCCTTATTTATCGACAAAGAATGAATCTTTCAGGAAATTGCACGTATTCCGTTTTCTATGGCATAGATTGGAGCCAGCGCACAGGTTTCAAACCTCATGGCCAAATTAGCAGGGGTATTCACTCGTTGAAAGACTGTCCGTATGGGAATGGTTCTTCGTGCACTAGACAGTATTTTATCAAGAACAAAAGTTTGTGCTAAAGTCTTCTCTAGTTTGAGAAGATGCTGGTCAGATAATGTATTTTTATTAAATTGTTTTTTAAACATTCAATTCGTCGTTTAGAATTGTGTTCCTTAGCTGTGCCCGGTTCAGCTCATCCGGGCTTCACTAGAGAATTGACTTCAATGTTTTTGGCGTTTATGGAGGTGTAAACGTGAAAACCGGTGTGCCAACTGCAAATCCGCCTGACTCCATCAACGCAAAACATGTTGAAGTAATTTCTTATCAATAAATATGTCAACAATAATAACATCACAGAAGGCCTTTTCAAGAAACAACACAGAAAGAAAATGTCGACCACACAAAATCGGTGAAAATGTTCAGTGCAATAATGCCCCGCTCATTCTATTACCAACCAGTCAGGACACAGTAATCCGTTAGTGGGCGTGGACTATTATTTTTCGGTTACATAAACAAAATGGAAAAAACCCCTTTACTTAGCTAACCAATCCAAAGCCAAATACTTGCGTTTATTTTATCGAATAGGATTTTCGATCTGTCGGCGCCATGCAGGTGGCTTTCATGACAGTGGAACTCTCTCTAGTAAGCCTCTCTTCCGACTTTCTGCCCATTAGGCAGACTCTTCGTCGTGACGCTGAATAAATGTGAGGTCAACCTAACCCACTCAGTATCTTCATGATTCATACAATCAAACAATAACTGCTTTACGTTTTGAAAACACTTGTTATCTATATCACAAAATTTGTCATAGACAATCTGTTGCAAGTAAACCAGATGTCACCGTTTGTGTTCACATGGGAAGCAGTCTAACATCTGTATGGAATAAATAGGGGACCTTTGTACCCTGACACTTTAACCTTGTCAAGTGAATTTCAGTTGGCATCAAATTGATTAAGTTTAGTTTATCACATGCTATTAGTGACATGTTAAACAGTTAAACATATACCTCAATGGACAGTATTACCTTCAAACTATCATCATTATCACGCTTTTGTTTACACGGGAAGCCTTTTTGATATATTACTAAAATCAGTTATGTCAAACTTGTTCTGAGTGTTTGTTTGTCCCAGCTAAATGACGGCGGTCTATAAATAATCGTGTCTGGACCAGACAATCCAGTGATTGACATCATGAGCATCGATCTACGCAGTTTGGATACGATGACATGCATCAACCAAGTCAGCGAGCCTGACCACCCGATCCCGTTAGTCACAAGCATGGGGTGCTGATGACCTATTCTAACACGGATCTTCACGGGTCTACATACAACTGTTAATATCACAAGTAGAGAGAGTTTCCATTCCTAGGCTTTAACGTTGACCTTTTTTTTATTGCGGACACACCCACATAACTGTAATGATGACATAAGGGATGTATTGGGAAATGGATCTGACGAGATGTGTCCTTTGTGGTACGCACTGATGCTATCAGCAGACACGCACAGTGTTGTCTGCACGCCCCGCCATCCTGCACACAGCCGTGCCTGTCATGAGGCAACAGTGGAGCCTTTACTCGACTGTGATGTCATTACATAGACGTGAGGAGCTTAAGTCATTGATGATTATACACAGTCAATAGGCACTGTCAGGATCAAGTCTTCATTTCCGAGAATGGTTTGTGGGAGTTTTACATGTGTGATGTGAGTGTTCAGATTGGGATCTTGGACATCCTTCAACTGGGGTTTCAAAGCAGGGGGAACTATGCTGAATCTGTTATCAAGTGGTGATATGATAATTTGAGATCCTATTTCTGTCTGGATTATATAAGCAAACTACTAACTGGACTGTCATGTGAAGAAAGGTTCTTGGTCTGGAGTACAGTTGTGTATATTCCTACTGCTGGAAATCGTTGTCGCAACGTTGGTTTGTACAATTACGACAGGTAAATATGGCTTATACAAATTATTTAAAGCTGGTTTCTAAACGTGTAGAGGTAAATATTTCGTGTAACATTATATTTGCAGAAAAGGGAGTTTTATTGTTCTCCGAAAAACATTAAGCTGGTTCTCATGCACATTTTAAGACGGGTGTCTGGGGGACTTCAAAAAGTAAACACGTCCAACTACAATCTCATGAAAAAAAGATCTTCGTGTTTGCTACCGCCACATTTCTTTCAGCGGTAGCGAGAACTAAGATCTGATTTTAATGAGATTGGTCTAACTATCCATTCGAATATATCAACCCCTCTTACTAGATCATACTAAATCAGGGCTATGCAATACAGTAAAAATTCCGGATGGTCCTCCAATGTCATGCAATGAATTCGTCTGGATTAACAAAGTTTCGGAAACTTTCATGTAAATTCTTTATGTTGGCTAAAGAAGGTACTTCCTTAACGTAAAGTGTTTAAATGAAATCAAACTGGGTAGACAAAATACATGCACAAATACGTGAACATTAGTGTGGAATCAAATATTTTGCTTCGTTGCTGAAACATTGGCTTTGAAAGCATTTATTTAAGATCAATGACGTTCTGCCTCTGTTCACAAACAGTGAATATTTAATATCCTGTTGGATGCGACGGTATTTGATTTTAAACACACAAAAGGATTGGAAAAATACTCCAGAGGTTTTATTGATCCTTGTCATTTCAAAAGCTCAGAATTATCAATTCGTCAATATATGCAGTCAACCGTATTATTTAATTGGTGACATAATTGGAGAAAACATCATGAATTAGTCGACAGAATATAATTATGTCACCCTTTTAAAGGAATCTATTGGCACTGTCATCTGATCATATTTTATCCCACATAGAGAAAACTCATGTGACAAGTAATTAATGAGATCTAGTGTGATGGAAATAATAAAAATGGATTAGATGTTAATAGAACATTTTAGCGCGTGAAGCGCAGCTTGGGTTGTATCCTCCCCAGGGAGTTGAGAATATAATTTGAGTGCACACTTGTCTAGTGACCTGGGTAATAATTGTGAGCGCATGGGATGGACATACAACGCAGTATACACACTATTATGCATTTAACATTATTTTCCTCTGACCCTAGGTGATCATGGAGAGTAATGGACGTCTGGGACTCCACATCTTTGTGACAACGTCCTACCTCATCATCGGAATGTTGATATTCCGCAGCCTCGAACTGGAAAACGAGAAAGCAATGCGGGTACAGATGACCCAGAAGCTCCAGGCGTTTATGGGTAAGAGGTGGAGGTATTACTTTAAGTAATGGTGACGATTATCGTAGGAGGATAGCGCAGTAGGTCGGCGAATAATATCGGCCATTCTTACATTGCCACCTTCCTGAATAGTGAACCTGTTTCAACGAGGTCGGAGATCGCGGAAGTATACATTGTGTCACGGCATCACATGTGAAGAGGCAGTTGTGTTAGTCCCGTTATTCGCCTCTCACGACAAGCACAGTCGCCCCTAACGGCAAACATGGGTTGCTGACTGACTGACTGACTGACTGACTGACTGACTGACTCACACACTCACTCACTCACTCACTCAACATAGAACATGGCGTGGATGATCTTGTAAGTAACATAATTTCTTCTTAATAGGGGACACGGGTGGCCCTGTCGTCAAGGACGCCGCAATTCGCTGTTTAAATCTATAAATAATTTAAAAACCTCCGACTTTCGGATTGGTCAATTATGTTGTTAGATTGTCATTTGGCAACAGAAAAAACGTAGAGTTCCGTCCCTTAGGCACGCCATCCCAATTCGCCCACATTATATTTCTAGGTTTGTCAGCACCATACCCGTGCTCGGGGGTTTAACACAAGTGGTAAACGTGCATCACTTCGGGCTCCCCTCCCTCATCAAACGCTGACACACCGTTATATGACGGCGTTACACTCACTCACTCACTCACTCACTCACTCTTGGCTCTAACGTCCTTGTGTATCCGCTCTACCGCAGCCAACTCCACGTGTGTGTCGATGTCGGAGCTGCGCTACCTGGTGGGGGTGGTAGGGGGCGACGTCAGAATGGCCATGGCAGTTGTAGCTAACAGAACGACATCAGACAGATGGGAATACTCTGGTGCGATGTCATTCGTTGTCACAGTCGTCACCACTATAGGTAAGTGTCATATGTGGTCCTACATCGTAAAAATTATGGGTAAATGTTCCCGACTAACATGAGTGTGATTGCAATTCGTGACCAGGCTGTCGTGTCGTCGTACACAGGCCGCCGTCCTATAGATGCTGTAGTATTGAACAACGACGGCGGTCTATAATCACGACATGAATGGTCGTTTACCAGAATGATGTTAAGAAATGTTATATCTCCAGCACATGTAACCCATGTGGTGTCTCCTTGGGCTTTGTTCCAAATGTGCCTCTGTGCCACCCAGCAGTGAATGGGTACCCGGTAGGATGAGTGGTTGTTAACCTTCCAGCGCCAAACAGGCAGCTTGGGTTGTATACTACCCAGGGAGCTGAGAATGATTGTTGAGTGCACACTGAACCAGTTACCGGGGTAATAATAGCGCTTTGAACATGTCCCTGTGAGGTGTGAAAATATGCGCAATATAATGGTCTATTATTATTATTATTATTATTATTAGCAGTAGTAGTAGTAGCAGTAGTAGTAGTAGTAGTAGTAGTAGTAGTAGTAGTTGTAGTAGTAGTGATAGTGGTGGTGATGGTGGTAGTAGTAGTAGTAGTAGTAGTAGTAGTAGTAGTAGTGGTGGTAGTGTATCTTGTCAAAACACTGGCCAGTGGATGTATAACTGAGCGACACTATACAATACAAGTCGTCAACCGATCTTGAGGGGTATAAAGTGTGCTGTACCCTGGGTGTGAGCCTTTGACCCCGAGCTGCAAGGCGAGGGTACATAGGCCCCAACACAGCGTGAATCAGACCATATGATATTATATTGCAGGTTTATATTGCTTTGGTCCGAATGGGTAAGAAAAGAAGTTAGGCATTTATTCACTTCTTTCATTTCATCACATTCATTGGACTTATTCTCCCAGATCTATTTCATTCGGACAATATAGTAAATATCCGGAGAACGGCGTCTTAAATCATTAATTCGATATATAAAATTGCATGTTGGTATGTTGCAAATGTAATACAAACAGTTCGGCAATGCGAGCGGGGAACATTAGAAATGTACATTAAATATAACAGAATGGGTCTCAACCAATCAGAATTCGATATTCATGTGTAAGATAAGATAATGACTCCGTGTTCTTCATGTCCAGGTTATGGTCACCTCGCCCCCGTGACGACGCCTGGTCGTGTGGTCAGCGTCATCTACGCCTTGATCGGCATCCCCCTCACCCTCATCATGTTGAAGGACATCGGCGACAAGCTGAACAACGTGATTGCTCGCCTGTACAGGGTGGAGTATTGTCAGAAGGCTTGGGTTAACAAGACTATCAACGTATCCATCATTCTCATCGTTGGCGTCAACGTCGCCATACTTCTGCCGTCAGCGTTATTTATTCACGTCGAGGGTTGGACGATGATGGAAGCTGTCTACTACTGCTTCATCACGCTCAGCACGATAGGCTTTGGGGATTTCCTGCCTTCGGGAGGTAGGTTCTTTATACGTGTGTGTTGTTTAACTTCATATCAGTAGTGGTAGAGCGTCCGCCCGGAGAGCGGAGATCCGGGGTTCGATCCCCGGCCGCGTCATACCAAAAGACGTTAAAAGATGGTACTTGTTGTTACCCTGTCTGGCACTCGGCATGTTGGGTCTAAAACAACGACTGGTCGGCTCGGAGTCAGTATTCTGTGTCTGAGTGGGGTATTCATGCTAAACTGCGGCATGGCATCTCAGTGAGCTGGTACTATAAATCGGCATTAATCCGGACTAGTACAAGTAGCCACACACACACACACACACACACACACACTCACACACGTGCATGCACCTCGCTATATAAGTGCAATAATCTTGGACGCGACGTTAAACCCAATTTCACCTCACCTCACCACCCCACCTCATATCAGGCATGCGGTGGCCCAGTGGTTTACAGAACTGTTCGCCCCAATAATGTGGTTAGGTTTATCATCACCATACCTGTACTCGTGGGTTTTACCAAAGTGGTAAATGTCTGATTCACTTCGGGCTTTCCTCACACGTTAAGCTGACACGATGTGGTATGACTGGAATACTGTTCAAAGCGGCGTTAAACCAAACTCACTCACTAGTTAAGCTAACCACATTTACTTTGTAAATACATTTAAGTTAGAACGATACTCACTCACTTACAACATAATTTAACCCGTGGAGATCCGGGTAGAACAGGTCTTCAGCAACCCGTGCTTGTCGTAAGAAGCGACTAACGGGATCGGGTGGTCAGGTTCCCTGCGTTGGTTCATGCATGTCATGGTATCCCAATTGCGAAGATCGATGCTCATGATGACAATCACTGGATTGTCTGGTCCAGACTCGATTATCACACAGTTGGAATATTGTTGAGTGCGGCGTTAAACAACAAACAAACAAACAAAATACGTTAAATATACAGTTAACATTTCTAACATCCTGTATGTTTTCTAATAACTCGAAATGTTTTCATCTAGAAATACTTTTAAAACCAAATATTGTTCCTGAAAGTTGACCTGAAACATATTTATCACTTTGAGTCCGACGGGTATTAAATTGTCGGACTAAATGGTGCATTCTGTATCACTTACGACTTTCTGTTTGGTCAGCCATGTTATTAGATTGTCATTTGGCAATAGGACAAAAATGGCAAATGCCAGGTGCTAATGGCGAATGTCACACCTGCAAGTGCAATTAACGGATAATCAGACATACACCCAGTCAGGCGTATAGGACATGGAAATCAATGAACAACCGGCACCTGAAATCAATTCTGCGTAATGAGACGTGAAGTTGTCCCATTTACCCGTAGTGTGGACACACTGGAAACAGTAAAACATTTTTTTCAAAGTCAAAGTAGTCGTCTAAAAAATCGTACTCTGTACTAAGTTAAGAACCTAGCACATTTGTTTTTGCTTACAAAGTGACATACTCACATTGCAAAACAGATATCTAATTCTTTGCAATTATTCCATCGCAGTAGTTACTGAACCCATTTGTTTGCTTCTTCGCGCTTCTGTGAGTTTATAAGCTTTTGGTGTGTTTGTTGTGACTAAAGGGTCAATTGATATAAAGCCATCATACTACAGCCTAATTTATCGTTATTCGTTTGCAACGCTTTTGGGCAGAGTGACGATAGATTATGAAAAGTTAATATTTATCTGTGAGGGTGTGGACAGGTTTCACGGTTGGACCAGTTGTCTAAGGGAGCATCCATTTGATTTGTATGCTTGACGTTTGGGTATATTCCACAAAACAAACAATTAGTTTTTATCACCACCAACAACAAACTATTCATTTTTGGTATTTTGTATTTTGTGATTCATCAGTTGATATCAATTACCTCTGGTACTAAGTGCAACATTGGTATTCGTCACCACTCGCGTGTTTCCGTAATCTACAACAAGGCTCGGCCGCCATGCGTCGAAACGGCGCAAGCCAATCAGAAGGCGATATTACTATTTTCGATATTCGTGGATCGTGTCAAAAGTACATTAGATGTATGTCAGCTCAGATGAGTTTAGTGCCCGTGAAGATCCGGGGTAGAATAGGTCTTCAGCAACCCATGCTTGCCTTAAAAGGCGACTATGCTTGTCGTAAAAGGCGACTATGCTTGTCGTAAAAGGCGACTATGCTTGCCTTAAAAGGCGACTATGCTTGCCGTAAAAGGCGACTATGCTTGTCGTAAAAGGCGACTAACCGGATTGGGTGGTCAGGCTCGCTGACTTGGTTGTTGCATGTCATGCATCCCAATTGCGTGGATCGATGCTCATGATATTAATCACTGGATTGTCTGGTCCAGACTCGATTATTTACAGACCCCCGTCATATAGCTGGAATATTGCCGAGTGCGGCGTTAAACAACAAACCAACCAACAAACCAGAAGAGTTTAGACACTTGTACCCGTGATACCTTCCAAAACACATCTAAAGATATGACTGTCAGACATTACTCTGGGGTATAAAACTTATTGTACATCATCGTCTCGGCAGCTGGCACTGTCATGCTATGATATATGAGACATGGCATTCTTCCATAAGAAGTACTTTACAACGATGGTTAACCTTGCTTTGTTCGCATAGTAAAATGGGGATTTGTGATAATATCAAAGTTAGGACAGTGGTAAGTAAAATATATTTGAAACGGACTTAATTCCCATCTTTATTTGTTTGGTGATTATCTGGTTTTCTAAGTTACCCCTACACACATACCTCTGTGTTTGGTAGATCCCTGTCACATACATTTATCATATCAACAAAAGAAATAAACAATAACATACATGTTGCTAAAAAAACGATGCCTCAATAAACATTGATATATACAGTATCTCATATATGTGATATCAAAAGACACGAGGGTGAGATTTTATTTATCATCCAACATCATTCTTCCAATATTTTCAGTTCGTAGACTTTAATAAGCAGTGTCTAATGTAAAAAGTACTAACAACTTCAGTAGCAGAGCCATTAGTGATGTCATTTGATTGTGACGTCATGTAACAGAGACGTCACAATGGTCTGCAAAGCATTGTGATGCAAATTCATTGCAGCGATATCTACAATGTAGATACTGCTTGATCTCACCCAAGCGATATCTCCTGTTGGAGCCAGTTTTGGATGATAAAAGTATATGGTGGATGGTTTACCACAAAACATATACCCAAGGGTATATAAAATATTTGTGAAATAAACTCTTAACTCGTTGTAACATATTTAACAGTAAGCTACTGTATCCAAATCAGTCGATTAATTTCTCACATAAATTGTTAATGGAAACTTAATGTAACAAATAGTATTTGTGTCTTAATGACTTAAATCGGTGACGTAAATATATTCTGCATGATTAAACATTTAATGAACTCATATAAAATGTGTATACTGTTTGTTAACGCTGTCCATGAAACGATAAATTGAGTCATGAAATAAATAGGTAGTAAACAGCCGTTTCAAGCAAGGATAAGACAAAATCAAAACTGCCAATGTTAACTGAATACATCTTCCCGAGGCAAGAGAGTGAACTGACTTTAAAAGTCCAGTTTCCACCCTTGCCGAACTAGGCTGGAATTCATGGGCTCGATCGTAGCGCCACCAGTGGCTATTACGAGTTATGTCCTTTCTATGCCTCTCCTATTGACAAATCAGATTCAACCTCTCGTATCACTTGCATTTGCTTCAAACAAAACGGTTGCGCCCAGTCAAGACGATCTGATCGATAATCAAGATCTATATTGTGATAAAACGAGTCTTACATCGCGAAGTGCATCAAATCACGTGAGCACCTTGATTAAAAACAGGAAAAGTTTATAGAAAATATCTGTTGACAACGAGTTAGCGATGCACATGCTTTGCAAATCCTGCAGTCGACCGAAATCTGCATGACACTTTACGAACCGGATTTCGATTTCGGTGCGCGATTTTGATTGGACTATGCATAGACTCGTCAGTCCAGCCAAAATGTAACTCCATAATACCAGCCTAGTTCGGCAAGGGTGGAAACTGGACTCTATACTCAGGTAACTCACTTGCCTCGGGAAGATGGCTGAATATGGAAGAGAAATTTATTGTTGAAGGTATTTAAAACCGAAAAGCACCTCTGTCTTGTCAGGCAGTGTTCTTCTTATTTAAAAGCAGTAATTTGTTGAAAATTAATGAGTTGAATAGCTTAGCAAATATTTATATCAGAGAGGTTAAATGCTTTGATAACATGATGTACTAACACATTAATTGTACTGTAAGATACGGGTAGAATAAGAGTTATCGTTCTTGTTTGAAGTAGTTTTCTTGTTCATACGCCAATACGGAAACCTTCGAGAGGGGCACAAGTCTACATTTGGCTTGTCCCGGAATGGGGCGAGTTGTTTCACTAATGCAACATTGGACACCCATAGTAACAGTCAACGTTAATGGAAGACATCTGTAAATGTGTTTTAACAGAGAGTGAGAACGATGTGAGTGCATGCTTATGTCAGCTGACATTACATCAACCTTTCAAGTTACTACCTACCGATCGCAAAGTGAAATGAATGGGGTTTTTTTTAACTTTTAATTCGAATTCTTATTGAATAAAGACCAATCTGGGTGTAGCAATAATTATAAACTATAAACTTTCGCAGATTTATTGTGTTGGTGTGAGTGTGTGAGTGTTGTTTGACGGCGCAGTCCGCATATTCAAGCGAGTGGCTATCACTAGCCGCAACTGCGTCTGGAACGTTTAACGAAACCCTGTTAAGATTACGAAATATCAAAGATACTTTTGCAGGTGTAATGTTTGATAAGTAGGAAGGGGCATGGTGAAAAGGTAACTCAGTTTCAGACAGGGATGTTTTAAACTATAGATGCACCCTTGCCGAATTGGACTTGCATTTTGGAGTTATATTTTTACTGGACTAACGAGTCTATGCATAGTCCAATCAAAATCGACATCCGGTTCGTAAACAGCCGTACAGATTTCGGTCGATTGCAGGATTTGCAAAACATGTGTACCGCCAACTCGGCGACAACAGATATTTAAAAAAAAATCCTGGTCTCAATCAAGGTGCTCACATGATTTGATGCACTTCGCGAAGTAATACCTGATATATCACAATATAGGTCTTGATTATCGATCAGATCGTCTTGACTGGGAGACGCCATTTCGTTAAAAGCAAATGAAAGTGGTTGGTCAATAGGAGGGACTTATAAGGGACATAACTCGTACATAACTTGTAATAACCACTGGTGGTGATACGATCGAGCCCAGAAATTCCAGCCTAGGCCGGCAAGGGTGAAATCTGGACTTTTATAGTCAGTTAACTCCCTTGCCTCGGCAAGATGGACTTCGGTGTACTCTCCTCCTTTCAGCCAATCTGTTGACCATGAACAGACGTCTGTATAGATTCACCATTTACATCTGGATCTTCATCGGGCTCGCCTATGTATCTCTGATTATCAGCTGTATCTCAAACACCATCGTGGAGAAGGCCCGATCTGTGGAGAGACATACGCTGACCAAAGTGGAGGTAGGTATATGCATGCTAGTATAAACAAAAACGTATATAGATACGTCTTTGATACAGACCGCCTCCGTGGTCTAATGGTAGTGCGTCCTCCCGCAGAGCGGAAGGTGCGGGGTTCGATCGCCGGCCGCTTCACACCAAAAGAACTTTAAAAAATGGTAGTACTGTTATTACCCTGTCTGTTAATTGGCATTAAGGGTCTGAAAGGGTCTTTGCTAACTTTAAAATAATATTTAGAAATATACACTCATAACTTTAAGGTGAACAGATAAAAAAAATAAGTTAGATTATTGTTCCAACAATTTGAATATTCTTTTAATATCAAAGTGTGTTAATTTTTCTTAAAACAGCACTAGGCGAGTGCTACTGTAACGATTGTTGTTATTGGACTTAAACAGAAGTTCTTTTTTGAAGTAGTTCGGATTAGAAATCCCTGTGGACGGGCAAGAATGCGAAGCGTACATAAAAGATCCACTAAACCATTCTCCCACTGTTTCAGGCTGAGCTGAGGCGACTGCGGCATGAGGTGATGAAGTATCAGCATCGATCACGTGATATCACAACCGACGTGGTCGGAGCCGCATCGCCAAGTTGTCCGTTAGACGTCAAACTGATGCACTATAAACATGTCGGACAGGACAACGACGCATTTGTATGTGCTCTCAGCTCAAAAACAACACATGTCGAAGTCCAGAAAAAGGATAACGATGTCATGGACGCAACAGTGGAAAAGTATCAACAATAATCTATCCGTGGACACTGGAGAGAGAATGAGAGAGAGAGAGAGAGAGAGAGAGAGGGGGGGGGGGGGGGGGGGGGGGGGATATTCCGGACTCCTCCGCAAGGCGACTCAGTGGGACATTGCTCATTGTATCAATCACTGGTTTGTACTGTACAGCTTCGATTATTTACAGGTTGCTGTCACATCGCTGGAATGTGGCTATTAATAACACATAGTTCAAAGAGGAGTCAGTTGATAAAGTTTGGATTTATTATGTTATTATGGAATAATAAACACAATTTATTTGTTTGTATGACATGGAGGACTTCGCTGTGGACATATTTACATGGAAGAACAAGTCGATAAATACAGCATGTATATGTTTGTCGAGGCAGAACACTTAACTTCAGAGGTTGAAAACAAGATGAAGCAGCGTAGACCATTAGAAAGGGACACAATCGCGACTCTCAACATCTCAAAAAGCATATTTTACAACCTTTCAAAAAACATATTTTACAACCGTTCCCAAAACATATTTTACAACCTTTCAAAAAGCATATTTTACAACACATATAAACAATGTCCTTTACGTCTGATATGGTACTGGCATCGCCTTACCACATGGATGGGGGCGTGTAGAGTGAGTGAGTGAGTACGGTTTTACGCTGCTTTTAGCAATATTCCAGCATCAAGGGTCCCCGTCGACTTCACCTTGCACCACGTTGGCCGATGAAGTGCACTTCATGTCAAATGTAAGCTGGTCGCGGGTTCGAATCCCAGTTTCGCCATGATAAAGATCATTGGTCTGTCGGCACTATACCCGTGCTGATGTGTTTCGTCACCATGTTGAACAGTCTGGGAGATTTTGGTTCTCATTAAACTGACGTGCCGCGTAAACTCGAACACACTCACTATGTACACGGAGTCTAACTATTTGTACGGAATAGCACCAACTGATGTACAGACACTGTGACAAACCCATTTTGGATTCCAAGTTTTTCAGATTCTCGACGCCATCATCCAATATGAATGTCATGTGACGCCATTATTCACAGAACGATATTCCGATGTCACGTGACTACAGACTGGTGGTGGCCATAGATGTGTCCTTCGCCTCTTCCATGTCCTTGATCTCAAACTTGTCCTTCACCTTTTTCGTGTCCTTCCCACTGGTCGTATTACTTTCGCCATCTTCGCTAATAGACGACTCCTGAGAGTCAAAGCACAATTGTGATTACTAACATGCATTATCGGGATATTGAATGGAGAAAATTATTCAGCTACAACAGAAAAAAAACCAAATAATTTTTTTGTTTTTAACTATGAACCTAAATATTTTTTAAATGAAAAACATATCTTGAAACAAATTCGGACAATTTATTTTTTGCAACAGATTTTTAAAAACTATTTCTTGGACAACTTATTTGCACGAACTAGCTCCAGAACCCTCCCCACGGAATATCAAATGGCGGGTCGCTTACACTGGGAATTTGAATTAAAGCATATTATACAAATAATTACTCTTGATGAGATCAAAACACGAAAACATTGGACCCGTGAACATCCGGGATAGAATTGGTCTGCAGCAACCCATGCTTGCCGGAATGGGGCCTTTACACAGGATGGCGACCTTTGTCCCTCCCGTGTGCGACCATAAAATTTGCCAGGTTGTCGTTGGAGGCTCAAAGGAGGCAGAATGGTTGCCTAGATCGTTCCAAGCTGGTACACAGGAGGTTCAGACATCGTCACGGACGCCATGGTCGCCGTGAACTTTTGAACATGTTCAAAACAGTCGCACAAAGGTCGCCGAGGAGGTTGGTTGCTCAAAGGTGGCCCAAAGGAGGCAGAAGGGAGGCACAGTGATCGCCCAATGGTCCCCAGGTAATAGATGCTTTCTGCTGAAATATTTTCCCGTCAATCTGGGCGATGCTTCTGCCTCCCTTGTGGCTCCTTTGGGCGACAATCAGCGTGCATTGAACGATGACTGTGGCGACCGCCGTGCCTCCATTCGGCGACCACGGCAACCCTTGAGACACCATGGCAATGCTTCTGCCCTTTTTCTGCCTCCTTTGAGCTACCTGTCGTGCCTCCTCAGCCTGCCTATAAATAGAGGGCGTGTACCTGCAGTGTTTCATTGTGGTTGCAGACGCTGAATAGCCCGAACAGTTACTGCTGAACAACTGCTGAAGCAGTTACATAGAAACATGAATTTCTGGGTTAAGGCGACCATTGAGCGTCCTGGTCAGTTTTTGATCGCTCAAAGGTGGCACCAAGTTCGCAGCCTTGTGTAAAGGGGCCTTAACAGGCGACTATTCTTGTCGTAAGAGGCGACTAAAGGGATCGGGTGGTCAGGCTCGCTGACTTGGTTGATGCATGTCAACGTATTCCAATTGCGTGGATCGATGTGCATGATGTCAATAACTAGATTGTCTGGTTCAGACTCGATTATTTACAGACCGCCGTCATATGGCTGGAATATTGATGAGTGCGGCGTTAAACAACAAACAAAGAAACAAACGAAAACAAGGACGCTCCGACCCGACCCCTTCTGCGGTCTGACCGGGTCGAGGCCGCATATTGACCTCTTCCAGAATAAGTATTCGTTTTGATTTGTCGAATTTCACTTTAAAGTTTATGAAGCCTTTAACCGGGCGCTGTTTCATTACAGTAACTTAACTTCGAAACGTGAAATAATTCGTGCCCAACTCGTGTTATTCCGGGACAAGCTGAATTGCAGTCGTGCCCCTCTCGTCGCGATTTGTGCGACTGGGTTCCGTCTAAGTGCAAACGGGCATAGCTAAAAGAATTTCTCAACTCGTTATAATTCACGAAGGTTTCCTCCATATACCAGTACAACATTTATTCTGGATGCTATAGAAAACAAACCGGGTCTTACATTATTATACAGTAATAACCAGACGCCATCTTGTTTTCCAGCAGACAAGTTAATATTCATCACGTGACAGGCCAATACTGATCATGTGACGATCATATTCGAGGTCAGTGTCAGTCACGTGATTTGGGGGTCAACTTTGAAATGTAGTATTTCGTCACGTGGTTGAACCAATGAAATAGCAAGATTCTTAATAGAGGTATAACACATTTGTCACCACTCGCCCCTTTCCGTAACCAGCAAGAAGACTCGCCCCCCTATCGATGAACGCTATGTGCGAAAATACGATAAACCAATCAGAATGCGCGTATGATTTCTTCGTCAAAGAATCCCTCAGAAATAATTTTTGATTATACATATGTCTTGCATCTAAAAATATACCCAAGACACAGTTAGATATGTTCAATCATACTGTATAATTCCGCATGTCAAGATGTGCTTTAAATTGCATCTGAAATATATATAATATATGGGGAAATATATGTGAACCATTACGCAACGAGTTGACAACTGTTTTAGGTATGCCCGTTTGCGCTAAGACGGAACCAGGTCGCAAAAATGGCCATGAAAGGGGCACGAGTCGATATTCGGCTTGTCCCGGAGTAACACGAGTTGGTCACGAATGGGTACAACAGTCCAATATACTAACCCTAAACGATGCTCGTCTTTTTTCTTTGATGGTATTGTTGACCTGAACGACTGTGTCCGTAATCTTGCTGAGAAGCATTGCGAGCCATGCGTAGCCCATTAAGATCCACACCACCACCAGTACCCGATATATCTCCCTATACCTCTTCGCTTGTTGCCCTGCAATAATACAAGATGGTGTTACAGGAAGATCCACCACCAGTACCCGATATATCTCCCTATACTCCTTCGCTTGTTGCCCTGCAATAAAACAAGATGGTGTTGCAGGAAGATCCACCACCAGTACCCGATATATCTCCCTATACTCATTCGCTTGTTGCCCTTCAATAAAACAAGATGGTGTTACAGGACGATCCACCACCAGTACCCGATATATCTCCCTATACTTCTTCGCTTGTTGCCCTGCAGTAAAACAAGATGGTGTTACAGGAAGATCCGCTACCAGTACCCGATATATCTCCCTATACCCCTTCGCTTGTTGCCTTGCAATAAAACAAGATGGTGTTACAGGAAGATCCACCACCAGTACCCGATATATCTCCCTATACTCCTTCGCTTGTTGCCCTGCAATAAAACAAGATGGTGTTACAGGAAGATCCACCACCAGTACCCGATATATCTCCCTATACCCCTTCGCTTGTTGCCCTGCAATAAAACAAGATGGTGTTACATGAAGATCCACCACCAGTACCCGATATATCTCCCTATACTTCTTCGCTTGTTGCCCTGCAATAATACAAGATGGTGTTACAGGACGATCCTCACCAGTACCCGATATATCTCCCTATACTTCTTTGCTTGTTGCCCTGAAATAAAACGAGATGGTGTTACAGGACGATCCACCACCAGTACCCGATATATCTCCCTATACTCCTTCGCTTGATGCCCTGCAATAAAACAAGATGGTGTTACAGGACGATCCACCACCAGTACCCGATATATCTCCCTATACCCCTTCGCTTGTTGCCCTGCAATAAAACAAGATGGTGTTACAGGACGATCCACCACCAGTACCCGATATATCTCCCTATACCCCTTCGCTTGTTGCCCTGCAATAAAACAAGATGGTGTTACAGGAAGATCCACCACCAGTACTCGATATATCTCCCTATACCCCTTCGCTTGTTGCCCTGCAATAAAACAAGATGGTGTTACAGGAAGATCCACCACCAGTACCCGATATATCTCCTTATACTTCTTCGCTTGTTGCCCTGCAATAATGCAAGATGGTGTTACAGGAAGATCCACCACCAGTACCCGATATATCTCCCTATACTCCTTCGCTTGTTGCCCTGCAATAAAACAAGATGGTGTTACAGGAAGATCCACCACCAGTACCCGATATATCTCCCTAAACCTCTTCGCTTGTTGCCCTGCAATAAAACAAGATGGTGTTACAGGAAGATCCACCACCAGTACCCGATATATCTCCCTATACCCCTTCGCTTGTTGCCCTGCAATAAAACAAGATGGTGTTACAGGCAGATCCACCACCAGTACCCGATATATCTCCCTATACGCCTTCGCTTGTTGCCCTGCAATAAAACAAGATGGTGTTACAGGCAGATCCACAACCAGTACCCGATATATCTCTCTATACTCCTTCGCTTGTTGCCCTGCAATAAAACAAGATGGTGTTACAGGAAGATCCACCACCAGTACCCGATATATCTCCCTATACTCCTTCGCTTGTTGCCCTGCAATAAAACAAGATGGTGTTACAGGACGATCCACCACCAGTACCCGATATATCTCCCTATACCTCTTCGCTTGTTGCCCTGTAATAAAACAAGATGGTGTTACAGGAAGATCCACCACCAGTACCCGATATATCTCCCTATACTCCTTCGCTTGTTGCCCTGCAATAAAACAAGATGGTGTTACAGGAAGATCCACCACCAATACCCGATATATCTCCCTATACCTCTTTGCTTGTTGCCCTGTAATAAAACAAGATGGTGTTACAGGAAGATCCACCACCAGTACCCGATATATCTCCCTATACCCCTTCGCTTGTTGCCCTGCAATAAAACAAGATGGTGTTACAGGAAGATCCACCACCAGTACCCGATATATCTCCCTATACTCTTTCGCTTGTTGCCCTGCAATAAAACAAGATGGTGTTACAGGAAGATCCACCACCAGTACCCGATATATCTCCCTATACCCCTTCGCTTGTTGCCCTGCAATAAAACAAGATGCAGTTACATGAAGATCCACCACCAGTACCCGATATATCTCCCCATACCTCTTCGCTTATTGCCCTGCAATAAAACAAGATGGTGTTACAGGAAGATCCACCACCAATACCCGATATATCTCCCTATACTCCTTCTCTTGTTGCCCTGCAATAAAACAAGATGGTGTTACAGGAAGATCCACCACCAGTACCCGATATATCTCCCTATACCTCTTCGCTTGTTGCCCTGTAATAAAACAAGATGGTGTTACAGGAAGATCCACCACCAGTACCCGATATATCTCCCTATACCCCTTCGCTTGTTGCCCTGCAATAAAATAAGATGGTGTTACAGGCAGATCCACCACCAGTACCCGATATATCTCCCTATACGCCTTCGCTTGTTGCCCTGCAATAAAACAAGATGGTGTTACAGGCAGATCCACCACCAGTACCCGATATATCTCTCTATACTCCTTCGCTTGTTGCCCTGCAATAAAACAAGATGGTGTTACATGAAGATCCACCACCAGTACCCGATATATCTCCCTATACTCCATCGCTTGTTGCCCTGCAATAAAACAAGATGGTGTTACAGGAAGATCCACCACCAGTACCCGATATATCTCCCTATACTCCTTCGCTTGTTGCCCTGCAATAAAACAAGATGGTGTTACAGGAAGATCCACCACCAGTACCCGATATATCTCCCTATACTTCTTCGCTTGTTGCTCTGCAATAAAACAAGATGGTGTTACAGGAAGATTTCAGTTGAAAACGATCTTGTGCGACCACACTATCTGTGGTGTATAATGCACTATCTTCGTTGCTACGTTTCTGGTAATATTTGAAATGTCTTGTAAGTTTTTGTGTTAAAGTAATGCCCCATCATCGATTATCCAAGGTTAATATTTCTCCATTCTATACTCTTAAAAAATAGGGGATCTTGAAATAATCGACGTCCAAAAGAAACTTTACCAGAGTTTGAAATCACTCTTGCTCAAAAACAACAAAACATACATGCATGAAGTAAAGTGTATTGAGAAGATCAATATATCAACATAATCAACACTGAAAATGACAATCATACCGCTACTGACTCGGTACATAAACAATCGCTCACGTTCAATAACTCGAGCTTTCAGAATCATGGACAATAGGCAGAGTACATAAACAATCGCTCACGTTCAATAACAAGTCATTAGTAGCGTGTGTGACCACCAAATGCCTCAATACACGCAAAAACTCTTCGACGCACAGAAAAAGTCAGTCGTCTGATGAGGTCACGTGGTATTTGACGCCATTCTTCTTGGAGGGCCAAGATCAGTTCTTGCCGGTTTTCTGGAGAGTGTGGTCGTTGTCGAACACGACGATCCATCAAGTCCCAGAGGTGTTCTATGGGGGACATGTCGGGTGAGCGTGCAGGCCACGGCAGGGCGTTGACGTTGTTGGCTGCGAGGAAGTTAGTGACAAATCTGGCTGTGTGGGCTCAAGCGTTGTCATGCTGATAAATGACACCACGTGGTTGCTGTTGGAGAAATGGTAAGACAACTGGACGAAGAATGTTATCCATGTAACGCTGAGCTGTCAAGTTTCCGTCCTGCCCACAGATCCCTCCCCACACCACAACACTCTCTCCACCATATGGTACGACCTCCTGCACGCAACACGCCGCCGTTCGTTCACCCCTTCGGCGGTAAACACGTTGTTTTCCATCTGTCCTAAACATACAGAATCGACTTTCGTCAGTGAAGACAACCCTCTGCCAGTCACGTCGTTGCCAACGTCGTACAGTCCGGGCCCATCTCAATCGCAGACGACGATGTTGTCAATAGCTGTCCTCTGTATCGTCTGAAAGCCCTGATTCCATGAGCCCTGAGTCTCCTGGCCACTGTCTGTCGACTAACCCTGTGACCTAAGGCATTTGTCGCCGATGACGTCACTGTCAGGAAGCGATTTCGGAGGTGCAAGGTACGCAAGTACCGGTCATCATGGGGCGTGGTCACCCTGGGTCTGCCTGTTCTTGGCCTGTCAGCGGTCCGCTCTGTCTGTCTGTAACGTTGCATCAATACAATATGGGCGTGAGTGGCTCCCATCTGTACCAAACCCACGTTGTTCGACTGTCGTGGCATTTCTTTTGTGTTTTTTTTATCATTGTGGATGACTGACTTGCCGTCGCAATCGTTTTATACCCTTACCCGCACGTGCATTTCAGTTGTCCGTGGTGCACGTGTTTTTCACTTTTTCGCGTGTTATCTCGCAAACATGTAACAAACGATTAACATTTCCCGCATACACTATTGTTGTATTTAGGTTATCATGTGTTTTAGATAGACTTCACCGAAAAATTTGTTTATACTTTGTCTGAAATTTATATTTTCAGTTGGTAAAGTTTCTTTTGGACGTCAGTTTATAAATGTTAATACTCAACCCACAAAAAGTACGAAAATCAGTACTTTACCAAGAAAGTGTTATCCCAAATAGAACATTTGTTACATTTGACCGCCTTCTAAATGGCATTCGTGTGTTCATAGCTTTCGGCCATGGGAGCCAATTTACACTTGTCAGAGGGGTACTCAAAGTACGTGATCTAGACTATCAGTTGTTGGACTTTCATTTTTGTGGAAGCCTTGGAGGCTGAGTGGGTTAGATTGCTGACTTTGTGTGCAGGCGATTAGGTGCCTCACTCTGGCAGTGTGGATTCGAATCCTGGATGGTCCCCCCCCCCCTAAAGTACGAGAATCTGTACTGTTAAAGTGTTATCCCAAATATAACAATTGTTACGTTAATACCAAGTATCATAACAATGTAAAGTGTTAACAAACATCCTATGCAAGAACGTTAATATCTGTCAAACTTATCACCAAGACACATCCAATAGTTGGCACGCGCCTCACACGTGCGAAGGGTGTCATTCCTGATTTTGACACTTTCAAGGAAGGTCGATTAATCTCTGTGGACCATTATTTCTGTCAGTATTGAATCTGCTCATCATTTTGTTGTGATTTTCTTGATTTCATGCAACGTTTGTTGATGAACTTGCGATGATGAACGGGCTTTTGGCATGCTGGAAACTGGCAGAAGTCAGCGTGCAGTAGCGCATACGTTCAATGTTTCCCAGTCTGTGATTAGCAGACTATGGAACTGGTCACAACAAACCCAAATGTTGATCAACCCCATCGATGACAAGTGTACAGGATCCAAGCTCTTAGAAATCGAGCTCAAACGGCGAATCACATTGTTGCAAACTTTCATCAGGCTACTGGAGTACGAGTCTACATGCAGTTCATCTTCATGTGGGGGCACGGGTGGCCCAGTCGTCTAAGGCGCCGCGATTCGCTGTGCAGAGTTGCGTCCCTTAGGCACGCCAGAAACCTATGATTGTGGGTTCGAATCCCGGTTCGCCCCGATTATGTTTCTAGGTTTGTCAGCACCGTGCTCGTGGGTTTCACCAAAGTGGTAAACGTCTGAGACCTGCATCACTTCGGGCTTTCCTCCCACATTAAGCTGACACGCCGCGATATAACTGGAATACTGTTAAAAGCGGCGTTAAACCCAACTCACTCACTCATCTTCATGCTCTTCGGCCACCTGTTGTGTCGCTCCTTACAACAGACATCATTGATGTACACAAGGTCAAATTGGGGTAATCGTTGCTGGTCATGTGTCATGTTTTCGGATGAGTCCCGTTCACTTTGCACTTCCTTAATAGGCATGGTCGTGTCTGGCGACGTCGAAATGAACGTCAAGCCAAAGTCAACCTGAGACAGGAAGTCTACACTTTCAGGTATGGAACAGGACTGTGTTTTAATTTACACGTTCGATATACACATCAATATGATGTACAACACATGTATGGGTAATAGACCACTTACCTGGCACATAGTCACCAAAACCCACTGTTGTCATGGTGATGACACAATAATAAAGCGACTCTCCGTAAGTCCATTTTTCGGCCGTCGAAAAAACCACTGCTGGTATAAACAGCCATATTAGAAGTCCAACTAGCACGAATAGGCCGTTCTTCAAGTATAACTCAACATTTGGATGTTTTGGAAAGAACACTTTGTCCAAGAGTTTGCGCATTGGAAGCTGCAACTTGACGCCAATGTTGACGATGAAGGCTCCACACAGGGGTATTCCTACCAGAGCATAGAACACACAGAAGGCCTGCCCCCCTGGGGTCACTGGGGACATGTTGCCGTATCCTATAAAGGAAACATTTCACAGATCAGAAAAGACGTTAACTTGTCCTAAAACGACCACATTTAAGTCAGGACATGAAATATGCTTATAACAGATTGTGGAAAGGGTTTTGACGTCCTGGGCCCCGTTTCACAAAGCAATCTTAGCGCTAAGTCGTACGTAACTCCCATTCTTTAACACTGACTTACGACAGTCGTAGCGCTAAGATCGCTTTGTGGAACGGGTCCCTGGTCATGAAATTGATAAGACGCCATACCTCTGCTTAACTCCCACACATATTGTCCCCTGCAAAAAAATGAAAAGGGAGGGATGGGGATTGGGTATTGGGAAGTATTATTGTATGATTCAAATAACGTGTTCCAGGAAATACTGGAATAATTGTTTGTTTGTTTGTTTGTGTGTTTGTTTGTTTAACGCCGCACTCAGCAATATTCCAGCTACATGACGGCGGTCTGTAAATAATCGATTCTGGACCGGAAAATCCAGCGATAGACATCATCAGCATCAATGAAATGTGCTGTGGGTCAAACTATATATATTTGGTTCCTGCTTTCAGAGTATGAGATTGGTCGGCCCCTATGTATTCGAATCAATCTGAAGCTTCCGGTATTAAATACATGCGAGGACGCATGGGTGGCGCAGTCGTCTAATGCGCAACAATTCGCAGAGTTGTATCCCTTGGGCACGCCAGAAACCTCCGATCGTGGGTTCAAATCCCGGTTTGTCCGGATTATGTTTCTAGGTTTCCTAGCACCATACCCGATCTCGTGGGCTTTTCTGAAGTGGTGAACGTCTGAGACCTGCATCACTTAGAGCTTTCCCCCCACATCAAGATGACACGCCGTGATATAACTGGAATATTGTTCACAACAGCGTTAAACCCAACTCACTTACTCAAAACAAGCGACATCTAACACAGCAGGATGCAAGTTCCTTCCATAACATCAGAAACTACCAGATGGAGATCTAAGGAATAAATACACGAGCACAATTATTGATGAAATCATTATGAAACACAAATTTGACCAAAGATCATATTCCTGTTCATATATGAGCGATACCATCTCTATTCTATAGATTTTGGCTTAGGAGCCATTTTGGAAATCCTTTGTATTGTCAGCGAGAGGCATCGCAATCGGCGCCTTCCTGGGTGATGAAGTTACCATGTACACCGAGGCAATCCGATAGCAATTTCCCATACACTGTATGGATATAAGTATCGAGGTTATTCAACTAACCAATGGTAGTGACGATAGTAAGCGAAAACAAGAGGCAGCTGAAGAAGTCCCAGTTGTCCTTGGAGGTGGTGTTGGTGGTGACGAGGACGCCTTCATCATAAGCAGCCATCATCTTCATGATGAACACCTCGAAGTCAGCAGGTGACAGACAGGTGTAGTTAGCTGGAACAGCAAACGAAATAGGTGTAAGAAGTGTAATTGGGAACCCCGAGGGAGATAGAATTGGTCCCAGCAAACTATGCTCGTCTATGAAGACGGGATCGGGTGGTCAGACTCGGTGACTCGTCTCCGTATTGAGTCGGGGTGCATGGTTGCTCGCCGGTCCAGATTCGATTATTTACAGACCGATGTCAGAGCTGAAATATTGTTGACTGCGGTGGTAAGTAACAAACAAACCTGAGGGGACCGACCACACGAACAGCTGGTGTATGTACACGAATACATTGCCAGATGTATGGAAGAACTCAATGAGCATTAATGGATGCCCAACACGGCCCATAGACAGTAACTGTGACGTTTCTCTTTAAATCGAATCTGCGCGTTTTGCTTATTGTGCTCTGATATACCCATTGTGCATTGATATACACTGATATACCCATTGTGCGCTGAGATACCCATTGTGCGCTGATATACTCATTGTGTGCTGATATACCCATTGTGCACTGATATACACATTGTGCGCTGATATACACATTGTGCGCTGAGATACCCATTGTGCGCTGATATACCCATTGTGCGCTGATATACTCATTGTGCGCTGATATACCCATTGTGCGCTGATATACACATTGTGTGCTGATATACCCATTGTGCACTGATATACCCATTGTGCGCTGATATACCCATTGTGCGCTGATATACGCATTGTGCGCTGATATACTCATTGTGCACTGATATACCCATTGTGCGCTGATATACTCATTGTGCGCTGATATACTCATTGTGTGCTGATATACTCATTGTGTGCTGATATACCCATTGTGCGCTGATATACACATTGTGCGCTGATATACTCATTGTGCGCTGATATACCCATTATGCGCTGATATACCCATTGTGCGCTTAAATACTTCGAAGTTAACTACTCAACAGAAGTTTACGAAGACCCTTTTCTTTTGTATGATTTGTTTTTTTGTTTGTTTTATTTTGTTTGTTGTTTAACACCGCAATCGGCAATAATCCAGCTATATGACGGCGGTCTGTAAATAATCGAGTCTGGACCAGACAATCCAGTGTTTGATATCATGAGCATCGATCCACGCAATTGGGATACGATGACATGCATCAACCGAGTCTGACCACCCGATTCCGTTAGTCGCCTCTTACGACAAGCATAGTCGCATTTTATGTCAAACATGGGTTGCTGATGACCTATTCTGACCCGAATCTTCACGGGTCGCTTTTATTTGACTATACTTAATGTGTCATATGAAAGAATCGGGTTTTTTTTAAATTTCATTTGTGTAGAAATCTGCCCTACGTGGAAGACGCTTCCAGGATGACGAGGACATAAAGTCTGCCACAGAGGCATGGTTAGAGGGCCAATCTGCGGATTTCTATAAAAGTGGTATTAAAAGCTTGAAGGACAAATAGAATAAGTGTATTGAGGTGAATGGAGATTATATTTAAAAATAAACATGCAAATTATATTTTGCGACATGGTCTTATATTGAAGTTGCAAAACTTATTGAACGCCCCTCGTATATATATCATGGCATGGTGACAAAAAAGTGCAAATATTACACACGCAGCAATGTTTGGCAGCATGGCTCAGTTGTGTACCTCAACCTCAACAACGTGGACATGTGTGCACACTTGTCATCTTGGAATTGAATAATAGGAGTTGGGGTATTTTTTGGCTCTTATCAAAGGAAGGCATGCTGGAGAAATACCATGTTGTCTTATTTATTTATAGTTTTTTTTATGTTCTTGCTTATCCCCTTGCGTTGACATATCTGTGCACAATACACTTATGCAACAGGGATTGAAATCTGCTCCTCCACACCCGCAGTCTGTAGTCTACAGATATACATTTTGAGTGTCAGTATTATGTTAACTCACAACATGTTTATCACAATATACTATTCAACTTTTGATAAGGATATTATGAGTGTCCAGGCAGGGAGTGGATGTGACTGATCGCTGGGATAAGTTGTCATACAAACAGCATTCAATGTCGCTTCGGAACAGACCCATTTTCAGCATCATTACTAAACAAGATATTTATCTAACATTACCTAAAGCCGTTGTTTCAAGCTCTGTCATAGTTTAACATAGCTCAGTATCCTTATCACAAGTTGAGTAGTATACTATACTGCACTCGTAATAAGTAAACAGCAAGGGTGTGAGTTATGCCAATAAAGACACAGGACAACCGATGAGTGAGTTAGTTGGGTTTAACGCCGCTTTGAACAGTATTCCAGTTATATCACGGCGTGTCAGCTTAATGTGGGAGGAAAGCCCGAGGTGATGCAGGTCTTAGACGTTTACCACTTTGGCGAAACCCACAAGCAAGGGTATGGTGCTGACAAACCTTGAATCAATTCGGGGCGAATCGGGATTCGAACCCAATCATAGGTTTCTGGCTTGCCCCAGGGACGCAACTCTGCTCGGCGAATTGTTGCGACCACTGGGCCACCCGTGCCACCCGGACCGATGAAGGTCGAAATTGAGACAGGGACAAACATTGCCAGAAATTCTTATCACCATGGACCGACAGACAGATGAGAAAAGATGGATGGTGGTTGGCAGACAAACCGGGGATACTTCAGTCAACAGATACTGACCCATAAAGTCTTTGACGGAGCCGAGCTGGACTTCTCTGACCTGGGCCTCCCTGGGGTGCTCGATGTGGTGGAACATGAGTGCCCCCAGACACAGGTACACGATGAGGATGACCCCCAGCACGCTCACGTACCGGCACAGCATGTTGAAGTGGACGATCACCTGCAACAAACTCAGTCATGATGATCAAGGCCATCAATAACAAGACCTTGGGCGGTCTAGTAGTAGAAGGTCCTGCCGGAGAGCGGGTTCGATCCCCGGCCGCGTCATACCAAAAGACGTTAAAAGATGGTACTTGTTGTCACCTTGCCTGGCGCTCGGCTTTAAGGGGCTAAAAGAAGGACTGGTCGGCTCGGAGTCAGTAGAATGATTGTGTCTGAGTGGGGTATTCATGTTAAACTGGGGCATGGTACTATAAAATCGGCATCAGTCCAGACTACAAGCAGCCAAGCACACACACGTCCCAATATACAGTATGTGCAATAATCTTGAGGTGAGGTGAGGTGAAATGGGGTTTAACGTCGCGTCCAAGATTATTGCACTTATATAGCGACGTGCATGTAGGTGTGTGTGTTTGTGTGGCTGCTTGTACTAGTCCGGACTGATGCCGATTTATAGTGCTAGCTCACTGAGATACCATGCCGCAGTTTAACATGAATACCCCACTCAGACACAGTATACTGACTCCGAGCCGACCAGTCCTTGTTTTAGCCCCTTAATGCCGGGCGCCAGACAGGGTAACAACAAGTACCATCTTTTAACGTCTTTTGGTATGACGCGTTCGGGGATCGAACCCCGGACCTTCCGCTCTCCGGGCGGACGCTCTACCACTAGACCACTGAGGCGGTCCAATAATCTTGAAAGCGACGTTTAACCCCATTTCACCCCCAATAAATAATTGTTAAAACCACCTGATTCTTTCATGGCATGACAGATCAGCTATAAATTCTTACAGCCTCTTTTTAGCAGTATAATTCGTTCGTTTGTTGTTTAACGCCGCACTCAGCAGTATTCCAGCTATATGACGGCGGTCTGTAAATAATCGAACAGACAATCCAGTGATGGTCATCATGAGCATCGATCCACGCAATTGGGATACGATGACATGCATCAACCAAGTCAGCGAGCCTGACCACCCGATCCCGTTAGTCGCCTCTTACGAGAATCATAGTCGCCGTTCATGGCAAGCATGGGTTGCTGAAGACCTATTCTACCCCGGATCTTCACGGGTCTTTAGAAGTATAAATAACTTCCAAAAGACACCTGCCATGACAGATTAACTATACTCATATAAAAGCATCGGGTGGTCTTTAACCTATTTTAAGTAGTCCATGTGGTACATATCTGAGTCTCCGCCAGCAGCAGCATGTGGTTCAGATGGAGCTCACGACTGCGAGTGTACATGTTAAACATGTAGCATTAACTCATTAGGCCAACCTCAAAGGCGTATCTACCTGCTTGTCAGCAACACAAATAACTACATGAGGATGAAATAGGGGTATGTTTTAAGTAGTGTTAAAGGTTAAGAAAGAAACGTTATATTCTGGGTATGCAACTGATTACAAACACTGAAAGTACTTCGCTGGTATTGTATTACGTCAAGCCAAAAGACGTTAAAGTATGGTACTTATTGTTACCCTGCCTGGAGCTCGGCATTAAAGGGATAATACTGATCCGATCGCCTCGGCGTCAGTATATTGTGTCTGTGTGGGGTACCCATGTTAAATTGCGGCATGGTATCTCAGTGAGCTAGCACTATAAATAGGCATCAGTCCGGACCAGTACAAGCAGCCACACTTCACTGCATGAATGTCACTATGTAAGTGCAACAATCGTCATTTATATTTAGACGCATTACATACCAAATAGCCTATAGATACATGCCTAATTAAGTAATTAGGAATTTTGGCTGCCTTATTGGTATTTGCTTTCAAGTTTGGTTATAAATTAAAACTGATATCATTTTGTTCGGCGTTTGGTCAGTAATTATTATTCTCCTTAGGGTGAGTTGTAGTTGATTCCCAAAATAGTCCTATATATTTTTATTTAATTTATTTTCAGATGTGAGGTGGGGTGAAATAGGGTTTAACGTCGAGATCAAATCATAGAACAATCGACGAAACGTGTGTGTGTGCGCACGTGTGTGTGTGCGCGTGTGTGTGTACGTGTGTTTGTGCTAGCTCATTGAGATATCCAATCTCATTAAAATCAGATCTTACTTCTCGCTATCGCTAAACAAAGATCTGAGGACATCCCATTACGGGTCACGCAAGAACGACCTTTCATCCGACCAATCAAAGCATCGCTTACCAGATCCTGAAAGTGACAGTCGGAATGCGTTTTCTAATCATGCAACCTCGAAAACGTTAACACGGGGTATTCCGAACGACAGTTACGGCCCGTACGACTGATTCCGTCAAAATTATCGTCTCTCTCTCGCTTCCGTGGGATAAACATTTGAACGGAGGAGGCGTTGCACAGTACGTGGGAAGCACTGCCATACAATCGCAACCATATATTAGACATTCCGGAATGTCCTTTTTATTCAGTTTTCAAAATTTTAATCGAGAACTGTGTCAACATATATTTCTAGCGTAGTCTGAAATGTAACTCGCCAGGTTGAAACGAGTGCTGTGAAGCCCGAGTAAGCTGCTTTCTAATTGGCTGATGTCGACTTCTGGTTAGACACTGTATACTGACTCCGAGCCAACCAGTCCATGATTTATTGTCTTCATTCTGCGCGCCAGGCAGGGTAAAACAAGTGCCATCTTTTGGCGCGGCCGGGGGTCGAATCACCGACCTTCCGCTCTCCAAGCAGATTCTATTAGATCACGGGTGCCGTCTCATTATCAGAACTGGCTGAGTATATAATCTGCATCAGTCTGATTGGTTGAAAAGCGTTGTTAGATGGGATTTGAAGCACGGTAGCTTCTTGACTATCCAGGGCTGGTGGAATAGCCTTTGTATATATACCTTGTGGCTAAAGGATTCGATTACACACGTGTACGATGTGTGACGTCATTTTTTGGTGTTCCTTGCCTTGATATTGCTGGAATATTTAAAAAAGGTGAAAACCAAACTCACGCACTCATTCTTCACTAACCACGAAGAATAAATAATGTTCTTACAAACCCAGGTGTTTTCAGTTGTCATGGAATCAGACAACATCCTTGTTATGATTCACGAGGACAATTCCTATTTGTTTGTCTAATGATATATAGTAAACTACGGTTATAACGAACACGCTTATAACGAACTGACGGATATAACGAACTTACTTTTTGGTCCCGACTATTTGCTGTAGTTATGCTGTTTATATGCTTATAACGAACTACGGTTATAACGAACTAAAATTAGTAGTCCCTTTGAGTTCGTTTTAACCGTAGTTTACTGTATTATTAAGACAATGCTACAGGATATCTTACGAAACTATACATTCTACATTTTATCTCTCCCTTGGGAAATAATTTCATACATGATTGATGGTATTAATTCCTTAAGGAAAAATAAACCCCTCCGTAATTCCTCGTCGCCTGTTAGTTATTCCCATAGTATGACTCTCTGTAGTTCCCAGACATTACCGACCCGTGAAGATCCGGGGTAGAATAGGTCTTCAGCAACCCATGCTTGCCGTAACAGGCGACTATGCTTGTCGTATGAGGCGACTAACGGGATCGGGTGGTCAGGCTGGCTAACTTGGTTGATGCATGTCATCGTATGCCAATTGCGTGGATCGATGCTCATGATGTCAATCCCTGGAATGTCTGGTCCAGACTCGATTATTTACAGACCGCCGTCAAATAGCTGGAATATTGATGAGTGCGGCGTTAAGAACCAACCAACCAACCAACCAACCAACCAACCAAACATTACCAATAACCTTTGCATTTACGATGTCTGAAGATTTTTCCCAATTTGAGTGTGCTATGGACAATTCATATTCATCGAATTCCATTTGGCACAGACTTTAACTCGAAGTTACAAACATTAGAAATCACGGAATTTTAGATGCATCTTAACAGTATCTACTACTTAATTTTTCTCTACACCTTACTATCTTACCGTTAGACTATGGCCCCCTTCCTTTTCCCGACACTTGCAGGAGCCTTTCCCTGTGCCACTTACATCAATACTTCCACTCATCGCTTTCATATTAAGGCCGGGAAGTTAGGCCTATCTGCTTCTCCCCGTGCAAGCAGTGCTAGCTTCTATACAGAATCAGCTCCCCATGTGCCATATTTATAAGCTTCTGTTTACTCAGGTTTACTGTGAGATGATGAATTATATACATTCATCGGTGGTTATATACCTTAAACCTTCGAAGACTAACTGTTCTGTCTGGTTGTGATTTTTTGTTTTGTGTGCTGTTTAAAGTCAACACATTTGGGATACAATGACACGCATCAACCAAGTCAGCGAGCCTGACCACCCGGTCCAGTTAGTCGCCTCTTACGACACGCATGGTCGCCTGTTACGGCAATCATGGGTTGCTGAAGACTTAACTTCGCGAGATAAGACTCGTTTTATTACATGTAGTATAGATCTTGATCATTGATCAGATCGTCTTGACTGGGGGCCGCCATTTTGTTTGATTTATTTGTGTGTTTATTGTTTAACGTCGCACTCAGCAATATCCCAGCTATATGACGGCGGTCCGTAAATAATTGAGTCTGGACAAGACGATCCAGTGATTGACATTATTGAGATACGATGACGTGCATCAACCATGTCAGCGAGCCTGACCACCCGATCCCCGTTTGTCGCAACTTACAAGCATAGTCGACTTGCAGCTAGAGAGGGTGTACTCATAGAGTGCACGTGCATGTCATGACGATGAAATTGACTACGCCCCCGTGGACACACGTGTTGCTCATAAGGCTATAAAGAGGTCGATATGACAAGTCGATAACATAATTCTAAAAGTCTTTTGATAGAGGTTAATTACAAACAACATAAATATAAATCAATACAAATCGAGCTAGCAGTATTACGTTTACAGCATGCTGAAACTCCATAAACAACCACATGGAAGTAATTATGGAGTATGTCACTGCGTCAGCTATCCCTACGTTAGGGTCTCAACCTTCACAATCATTTGATGAATGACACTACTCATTATTGCTCCCTGGGATAACAAAATTATTTTCACAGCAAATAAAATTCCCATCATTATCACGATACTTCTCAATTATTGTTACTGTGCAAAGTTTCTTTCACCGTTTTCAAAATCATCGGGAACCTCACACCAACACTATAATGCGCTGCTGAACTCGCCACTACAGTCGGTTTGTGGCAAAATTGCACCGATGAACTGCAGAATAAATATAAATCCGAAAGCAACAATTCGTCTTAAATGGGATCGGGATTTTGCACATATCCATTGTACTCCTTGTCGCGGACCACCCGCTACCCCTTTCTTCACAATGGTACGCGCCAGTGAGTGGACCTCATATAGTCATACGGGTTGAATTGTCAGGTCACAACTCAACTTATCCTGGCTTACCAGTAGGAAAACTGATATTCGCAACAAAACTGCAATCATGTTTTTCACTTTATTTGCCCTTTAACTCAGGGTTCATGAGGACAATATCATATGCCTTATATACACCTTCCTTTGTGAAGTATATGAGGCTCTTTCCACCTGGCGCTTGTATGTTCAGTTGGTGATCTGGTATGATTGAGTAAGTATAGGTTTGTGTGTCGCGAACACGGTCTGGTCCCCTGGGGATGCTGCACTGGCGATAGTGTAGCGCTAGCGCAGCATACCCACGGAACCAGGCTGATCATGAAAAATGAATTTTACAGATAATAGATATGTTTGATAGCTTTGTAAATAGTTATATCTTTGTGGTGAATAACAATGTATGAATAGACATGTCAGCTAGACCTGTGAGGCTTTGTGATCAAATGCAGGAAGGGAATTACAACTGTGAATTGATACTGCGCACACCATAGAGTTATAATTGCACGCGATATTGTGTTTCAGCAAATATTTATATAATGATAATCATAAGTAACAGCCGCCCAGTCAGTCGAGGTATACCACCCGAATGGCTGTCGGTGACCCATCGATACTCAGATCCATAGGGGTGCAGGGCAACCCCCACCCCCCGCCTCCCACCCTACCCTTTTGAAGTACATTAAACATGGCAACTTACATATAGGTACACGTATATACATAGTATATATCATATATAGGACTTCAGTTAGTAACATAAACAGTCAACGTCTTTACTCCGAGCTGAGCTAGGAACTTACCGTCAACTTAACGTGTATAGAATGGAACCTCGTCAAGTCAAACATCATTATAACAATATATTTTGAGACGATGTCACTGATAGGTCGCAACAGAACCAGAAGCAACGGGCAGACTCCCTGGTCTAGTGGATAAGGGTCTGATAGGAGAGCTTAAGGTTAGTGGTTAGTTTGTTACGCTGACTGGCGTTTGGCATTAAGGGGATATGACATGTTTCTGAGTGGTGTAGCAATGTGAAGTTGCTGAATGGCGAGTGAGTATGGCTATACGTCGTTCTTAGCAATATTCCAAAAATATCACGGCGGGGGAAACCGGAAATGGGCTTCACACATTGTACCCATGTCGGGAATCGAACCCGGATCTTCTGCGTGACGAGCGAACGCTTTAACCACAAGGCTACCTTGATAGCATGCTATCTCGGTGGGCTAGCACTATAAAACCGGCCTTAGTCCGGACTAACTATAGAACGGACTAACTATAGAACGTACGAACGAACGAACGAACGGACGAACGAACGAATGAGCGCGTCGCTACATATTCTTGAATGCCACATAAATTCCATGTCACCCCACCTCACTTCACCTCTTAAAGCGGCCCTCCGATTGTCTCGAACTTAGCACCGGGGACATCCAATTTACGTGTTTCACTCGGTTCGAAAGGAGACAAAGCTGGATGATAAAACTGAGACAAGCTGAAATAATACTTACTTTCTCCATGACGTGCTCTGACACAACAATGTGTGTGTTATATATTATACATTCAGTCCTATAATGACATCGACCTGTTCTGTTGCAACTCACTCACATCCAGGCGGAAAGTATGGTTGTGTAACGTGAACCGCGCTTCCGCGTGACCACTTGAACCCTATCCTAGTAGATGTAGGAATTCAGGAAAATGTTGTTTGAATGTATTGGGACCATTACAATGTTTAGCGACATCGCAGCTATACCGTTCCTATTCATTTCATTTGTAAGCAATCAAGTCGCGTTTCATAGTAACAGTGATTCCGTATTTTGTTAACACCCCATTAAAGCACTCCCGGTCCATTACACCCTGTCCTTATTTCTGTCAGTCATACGCATTCCCGGTTTGAGTCGGTGAACTAATGCGTGACATAGTTCACAGTTTCACATTACTCAATGTTTTAACCCCTCAATTCAACATCCGTGATAAGATCCTGTTTTGAATGCAACTCATTCAGCAGACAGAAATGTGTTATAGTGATATTACCCTTAGAATAGCATCTAAGCGGTACTTGTCATTGCTAGCCCGAGGACCAATGAAATGCTATCTACATACCGTATTCGACGTAATAAGCGCCCCGCTCTAATAAGCGCCCACGGCGATAATTGCTCATATATTGGCTAGTGAACAATCCCAATTAGCACCCCTTCCGATTGATCAATGTACACAAGACTTATTTATTCGCGCATAATAAGCACTCGTGTGTTACATGCACCCTTAATTATGGGCAATTAAATTCTGAAAAAATATATCTGTCGTATATAAACATTTCAGTCTGTCAGCATAAACCACGAAATTTATCTTTCAAATCTGTTTTTTCCACCAAAATAATATTCTTATAAGAGCCCCCTGTTTCTAATTTTGAGAGCGCCCTGGACGCTTATTACGTCGAATACGGTAATGTAAAATAGATGGCCTGTATTACGAGTGATCAACATACGTGATCAAACAGTGTCAGACCCGGAAGCAGAACTTATAACGGCATAAATTGGTTTTACTGTAATATATTTGACTGCTTTGCAAATACATTAATTATACATAAATCGAGTAGAGGATAGATAATAGGCGCTCGATTAACAATTATCACATCGACAGTATTTCAGCCATATTGTGACTATGAAAGGCTATACGTAATACATATGCTGAACCGTAAAAGAAACGTCACCCAACATTGCATGAAAAGCTGTCATTTAAATATCTGGGTAATTTTTGTCAAAGTTTCTAAAATTTACCATTACCTTGTCCGGAAAAATGAAATTTGTTGATGAAAAAAACAAAGCCTATAACAATTAAACCGATCGCCCAAGCGCATTACGGTAACGGCCATGGTAACCCGATGCACGTGAGTTCCTTGCAAATTGAAATGCACATGCGTTCCCCCATTTCTTGCCCTATAAAAATCCACCCAGATCGGATAACATTCATTTGTTATTGAATTGCTACCACATGCCAAGATTGACAAGAAATCAGCGACATCAAGCCCTTGGACAATTGCAAGCTGGACAAACCGCCCGGCAAGTAGCCAATGCATTTCAAGTCCACGTAAGGACCATACACAGGCTCCAGCAACGGTACCAGACCACCAACACTACAGATAACCGACCACGTAGTGAAAGACCAAGGGTCACCACCCGACGTCAGGATCGTCAGATTGTGCGACAGAATCTTCAAGATCGCTTTGTTACTGCTGCGGTAACTGCTCGACAGACCATGGGGACACACAAGCGACACCGTGCGTCGACGATTGACGAGCAGACACCTCCACTGCCACAGGCCACACCTAGGACCCATTCTGACACCACGTCATCACCGGGACCGCCTTTAGTGGGCAACACAGCACCATCATTGGCGCCACTAGCAGTGGGGAAGAGTCCTCTTATCAGACGAGGGCCGTTACTGTATCTCAACAGCAGATGGCAGAGAGAGTCTGGCGACGCCGTGGAAAACGTTATTTGGATGCTTGTGTTGTTGAGAGAGACTCGTGGGGTGGTCCGAGCATCATGGTGTGGGGTGGAATTGGTCTTGCACAGAGGGTCGCCCCTGTGGTCTTCCAGAACATCGGTCCAGGAAGAGGCAATGGTGTCACAGCAGCTCGGTACATTGATACCACACGCCATACCTCATTTGGCACGTCGCCGCAACCACGAGTTTCAGCATGATAACGCCCGTGCCCAGACTGCGAGAGCAACAAGAGA